TGCTGGTTCTTCGGATCAGAACTGTAGGGGTCCAGTCTGGGCTCGGCTCCTGTCACCATGGCCAGACTGGCACTCCCCCTCGGGTCTAGCAATTCCTTTCCTAGGCACAAAAAGCCTCCCCACCAAAAAAAAGCCCTGGATGTTTTTTCAAAGCTATGCATTTTATTTTTTGTGTCTTACTGTATTTTAACAAAACAACCTTATCTTCTTCAAAGTACTCTCCATGACACGTAAGGCATTTGTCAAATCTGCGATTCCATTCTTGCAAACATTTTTCAAACTCATCTGTTTGGATGGCTGACAGGACCTCCCTCGTTTTTTTCTTCACCTCTTTTTATGTTGTCAAATCGTTGTCCTTTCATGCCCCTCTACATTCGCGGAAACAAAACGTTGCACAGAGCAAGGTCAGGTGCATGGGGCAAGAGAGGCATGCCATTTTTTTGCCAAAAACTAGTGCACGGAGATGGCTGCGTGAGCAGGTGCATTGTCGTGGTGGCTAAACCAGTCCCGTCTGCCACAAATCAGACCTTTTTTTGTCGCACACTGTTACACGATCTTTTCAGAACCTCTAAATAGAAAGCTTGATTAATAGTCGGACCTGGTGGAATGAACTCCAAATGCACTGAGTCAACATTTTCATCTGATCAGGAAGTTGTCGGAGGTCCACCAGACGAGGTGTGTCATCAATTGACATCTCACCTATTTTGAAAGGAGAAGACCACTCCTACACTTGAGTTTTTCCCATAGTGCTGTCCTTGCCAGCTGCGTTCAACCTCACAACAGTTCCTGCGGCATTTTTTCCAAGCAGGAAACCAAATTTCACAACCATACTGTTCTCTTAAATTAGCCATCACAAAAAATGAGGTTGGAGTGAAACTGCTTTTATGAAAAAATTCCCTGTGACCAGAGAGAACCACTGGGTGTGTTAGGCAGCAGACTAGGGATAGAGGGGGTCGTTCCTCCCCATGCCTGCACAAGGAGGCTAGAAGGAAAACCAGGTGAGCCTTAGCCAGCCATAAACACTTTAACTGGGCATGCTCCAACTCAACACCCACCCCACCCAGCCCCGCCAGCCAGGTGGGCGGTATACCAGGGTGTCCCAAACTAGGCCCAGGTGGGCTTGATTCAGTCAATGGGGTCAATCCATACCTTCGACCATACCGCCCCAGCCAGAGGTTTAAATACCTTGGCAGAGGGACGGCCTGTTCTTTTGCCCTTGACCCTGCTCCTGTGCCTGCCGGCCATGGCACAGTCTCTCTGGCCTCAGGTCACTTGTGGGCACACAGTCCCAGGAGGTCACCCACATTCAGTGGTGAGCCCCAGCGTGGCTTATGCAAGGTTTGGCACGCTTCCCTGAAAAAGCATGTACTCCTTTGTAAAACCTGAAACTCCTCCCGTCCTTTATAAAAACCCACTTGGATCACAAACCAGGCTTGGGTGTGAATTCTTTCTCGTGCGAGGCCAAGGATGGAGGTATTTCCCACCAAAGAAACCTAACAGGTGCACTAACTCAGAGCGAGTGTAGCTACATCTCATTGAACTTGACATGCCGATGCAGAGATCCCAGCACACTGGCGTTCGCTGCAGCGGTCCTCAGCGTGAGTGACCAAAGGGTGCAGGCAGCCTGACTGCCCATCGCAGGTAAGTGGATGCGCGTGTGTTAAGCACGGTTGATGGCAGGTTCATCAGCCACAGGGAAGTTCTGACAGACGCTACCACGGGATGGATTCAGAGAACACGCCGAGCCCAACAGCCTAACATGAGAGGGCAAAGACAGTCTGAGGCCACCGTGGGTCTGGTCCTCTCTGCTCATGGTCCCCACTCCCCACAGGGCAGTGTGTGGTGCTGCCCCAGGTCCGAGCCAATCTTGACACTGACCTTCACAGAGCTGGAGATGCTGCTGGCTGTTCAGGGTCAGCTCAGTCCCTTGGGCACACGGGTCTGAGCCCACTCCTGTCAACAGCTCGGTGGCCCTCGAATGCCCCGTAGGCAACATCTTTGAACTTAGACAAAAGCATTCCCCAGAAGCTCCGAGTCCCAGGAAGGCCTTTTCCTGTGTCTTCCTAGCAGCCGCCCTCCTGACTGTTGACAGGGCAGGTGCTTCATCCAGGCAGCCTTGACTCTCTCCCACACAAGGACTTAAGCGGGGGTCTGAGGAAAAGTGCCTGCGGCCAACTGCAGGCCCGCTGCTCCAGGCATGGGGCACACTGGGCGGGCGCTGGTCTACAGAGGGACTCTTCCCGGGGGTACTGGTGATGAGAAGGGGTCCCGTGTGTCCCCGAGGCTGTGTGGAAACGGTTTTAAGCGCTTGCTCCTGCACAGGTCTTCAGTGGCGGGGTAGAACTCTCCCTTTTCATTCTTAACGAGTTTCCTCAGGTAGGCGGGGAAGTGAAGTCAAGCAGGTAGACGGACGGGGACAGCTGGGTTGATCCTGCCTGTGACCTATGCGCAACAGAACAGGATGTGGCCGGTGCTGCATGTCCTTCCGGGGACTGCTGTGCTGGGGTCTAGCCACGGGTCAAGCCGTCTCACGGGGGTCCTCTCCTTCACCAAACATGTTCTCCTCGGGGTGATCCCACCTCACGACGTGGCCCCATCGAGCTGGATGTGAGTCGTCGGGGTTTCCCTGGCTAACCTTGCAGGGGCATAAAGCCGTCTCCCGCGTCTGTCTCAGTCTGGAAGTCCACCATGGCTGACCCTGGCAGGTGAGATACCTGAGGAATGGCTTCCAACATCACTGCAGGCAGTGCAGGACTCGGCGCGATGTACCGACAGCGTGACATCTTTCATGGAAACAGGCACACACGGGTGGCACGTTTCTCGTAACTCCCTATTAAGTTGTAAAACGATTGAATAACTGAAAAACAACAACGAAGCCTTCAGTTGTTCTGACTGATGGAAGCATTATTTATTACATCACCATTAGTTCTGGGACAAAATCCCATTAGAAACAAACGACTGAGGATTCCTTATCAGCTGATTTTTAGAAATAACACAATACAAACCTAGCTTTACAATAAATTTTCTTAGATAACTTTTAAGGAGGTTTTTAACTCATTATTTGGCTCTTGAAAATATAGACCACAAACATTTGCTACATTAGAAAAATAATTTACGTGTAGTTGTTAGGCACAGGTCAAAAGGGGGGAGGTAATATGCACAAACGGTAGTAATTCTCAGTCAACACAAATTTGCTGAACATATATTTGAACTCCATTGACAAGAACCCGGGTTTTAGATGCATGTTCTTTAAAGCACCCACTTCCAAACCACTGGAATGTCTCCTTTCCTTTCTAATGCACTGAGGGGGGAGAAATTCTTTTAATATTTTTCTCAGCAGTAAAACTCTGTCTCAACAGGATTTGCCTTCTCTTGAGAAGTCGGCTGAAGAGCTTTTGCATCTGGATACCAAGAGCCCTTCAGGGGGCACCTGTAGAGGGAAATTTGGAGCGGTAGTGGGGTGTGTGTGTTGGAGCATGTGCCTATCAGGGGCTCTGCGGGGCTTTCCCCCGGCCAGAGGTATGGGAGGCTTTCACCCAATGGTTTCAAGCTAGACAGTGACAAAATTGTGGCTGGTGGGTGAGATCCTGAATCTAACCCTCAATTCTGTGTCAGTGGAGCTGCTACAGTTAATGGGTCTCAGGCGGCTTCTGACAGCGATGGCCCCATACATTCATTCAGGTTCGTCCCCCCACCTCCTTTTTTTAACCCCCTCAGGCAAAATTTGCTGCTGTCACTCATCTGTGTTAGGCAACTGACTGACTGTGACTGGCTGCAAGAACGTGTGTGTGTAAATAAGACATGAGGAAACGGGCTCCACGTCTCCAGAGCTGGCGTGAACGGGAGGTCTGCTGATACACACGTGCTTGGTTGGCCCTGGAACTGTTCACATAAAAAGACACCGTCGTTACTCTTGTCTCCTTCATTTTCACGTCTCCCTCGGACTCCCCAGTCGCCACCCTCTGGACCCGGGCCTGTCGGTGCGTGCAGGAGTCTCACAACATCAAGAGGCAAAAACCGTTTTTAAAAATGGTGTCCTAGTAGAAATTAATGTCTTTAGAAATGTCAGCCTTTAAAGCAGCAATCAGAAACTTGGCTTTCACAATATGGAGCGTAATACTGTGAGATCAAACTGTTGGGTTTAAATAAGTTTAACTTAACAGTGTTTCATTAAAAAAAAAAAAAAAAGACTGATGTCACTTAGTGGTTTCTCCATTCTTCCAATTCCAAGGGATACAAAGGTCCCCGTCCTGCATCACAGAGTAGAAGTGGGAGATACACAGGTGCATCCCATGCAGGTAAGGCAGGGACAATTCCAGCAGCCTCTTGCAACACTCCACCATCTGCATACTGGACACGCTGGGCTCCTTGTATAACTTCTCCAGGGAAAACTTCCTCGTGGAGGCCTGTATCAACTCATGTTCAATGACCTTCAACCTGTTGTATCAGAAAAGGAAAATATTCCCATCAGTGAGGAATTTAACACCAGAACCCAAGAGTACAAAGACCACAGAAGCCCTGCAACCCCGGGACACACACGTGCTATACTGACACGCCAGGGGGCCCAGGGTGCAGCGTGGCCTGGCAACCGCTCGAGTAAGCCTGGGTGGGGTGGCGGCATCAGCACCGTCAGTGCAGGGAGGGAAAGGAAGGCTTCGGGGCAGCATGCAGGGTGCCCCCGCTGCACAGTAGGGGCTGGTGTCCGGGTTCCCCTGCAGAGAGCTGGAAGTCTAGGCTGCAGTGGCTGCCCGGTAGCCAGAGGGCGCTCTGCTGTTCTCCAGCTGGTTCTGTGGGTTTATCCAATTCCTTTAGCTCAGTGGTTCTCAACCTTCCTAACGCCACAACCCTTTAATACAGTTCCTCATGTGGTGGTGACCCCCAACCATAAAACTATTTTTGTTGCTACTTCATAACTGTAATTTTGTTACTGTGATGAATCAGAAGATAAATATCTGGTATGCAGGATGTATTTTCGTTGTTACAAATTGAACATAATTAAAGCATAGTGATTCATCACAAAAACAAGATGTAATTATATATTGTGAAATATTTCTTTCTAATGACAAATCAATGAAAGTTTATCTGGAAGCATGGTGTAGCATGGGAACAGTCTTCACACTGGGTACTCATCTGTGGGCGTATGTGCATGTGGGGGAACCGCCTGGAGACGACAGAGGAGCGGTGTCTCGGTTCCTAAGACCATCGTAAAGATGTGTGCTCCAATGGTCTTACACGACCCCTGAGAAAGGGTTGTTTGACCCACAGGTTAAGAACAGCTGCTTTAGTGGCTGTATTTTAGACACCTATGTGCTCTAGTTCACGCACTAAAATTCTTATCCCAGTGATGCACATGCACTTCAGAGTCCTACAGGTCTATGACATGGCAAGATTAACAGCGAGCCCAACCACGCTCCTCTATCATCTGTTTTCCAAAGGAGGCTTTAAGCCTTTTTATGATGGAAAAGCTCCCACATGTACAAAGGAGAGACCGGCCTGCTGTGACACCCATGGGGCCATCTCCAAGTGCACCCAGCTGTGCCTTCTCGCCACCGCCACCAGCCCTTCTTACAGACACGAGTCTATCTGTAGGCGCTTCCGTCTGCATCTCCCAAGTAGGAGGGAGGGTCCCCGGTTCCTCAGACCGCCTCTGACGGCATCGCGGGAATCGACAGGGCAGCAGCTCTCGCCACATGTGGAAGAACACGGGACAGCGAAGGCTTCCGCGTGGCAGTCTGGGAAGCCCCCGGGGCAGTTCTCTCCTCTCCAGTGGGGTTGTTAGCGTTGGAACTGAATGCAGGGAGAGCCTGAGTACCTGGTATCACAAACGGAACCAGCAGCTATGGGCAGCACGGTCGCAAGGGTCACAGCAGCCTTCCCGTAGAAAAGAAGTATTATCTGATCCGCGTAAGGACGGAACAACAGGTGCGGTGACTGAGCAAGAGGACCTGGCTGAGGTACACAAGGTACAAACAGGTACGCAAGGCTGACCACAGCACCCTTTGCCTTGAGGGATGGCTTTGCTTCAGTTGCCATCCTTCATGTCGCTGATCGACATCCCCCCACATTTGAAGGTGTGTGAGCATCAAGGACACAGTGCGGGAGAAGGCCGTGCAGCTGCTTCCACCCACCCTCCACCCCCACCCCGCCCTCTGCTGAACAAGCCACCAGGGAGTCCTTTAGGGTCAGATGGTGCCTGACTGTCCCTTTGTCCCTCCCCTTCAGCTTCTTCCTTCCCCTCACGCCCACGCCCCAGAGCAACTGACTCCCATTTGCGCGGCTCGTCCACCACGGACATCCGTGGAGGGCACTCAAGTTTCCTACTGGAAACGAGTGCCAGGACAGCAGGGGGCAGGTCTCCTTCATCTGTCTACCAGGGGCACTGGCCCCCCGCGCATGGCACACGGCGGGCACAGAGCAGGCTGGCTCCGTGAAAGACTGGCTCGGGGGTCACAAAGCCTCCTGGGGCAACATGAGGGGACAACAAAGCCCTGAGGTCCTCAGAGCAGACGGAAAACAGAGTTCCCGGCCGGCAGCATCTCGAGGAGGACAGGACACTGCTGTCATGGGGCTCCTTCAAAAAGCCAGCGCAGAGATTTTGAACTCAATCAGCAGTTTACTTTAGACTTCCTTCTCAATTCAAATGGAGACGGCAAGGTCTCCCTCTCAGTAGCTTTGGACGCTACAAGGACGAGAGGTCCCGTCCATCCGGCAGTCGCCGCCGATCTGGTGGTCGCTCTCCTCCACCTGCGGACGTTGTGTGGTCCTCTGATTTTCCACCCTGTGCTTGATCAAGGCGTCCTTCTAAATGGAGGCAGAAGCACCTCATCATGTCCTTTGTAGAACAAGGTGGGGGATAAGGCCACACGGGCTCTCCCCCACACAGAGGTCTGCGTCCTAGATGGCGGACAGTCTGAATGCCCCCCGGCACGCCGCTTTCTGCGCAGTGAGGGTGAAGAACGGTGCCCGAGGGGGTTAAAGCACTTACTCTTGCTTCCTTCTCAGCCTCTCTCTGGCCTGCTGGGCTCTGGAGAGGATGAACCAGTGCAGGCTCGCGGCGTCACAGAGGACTGGGATGTTGAAATGCCCGAGCTCATGCAAGCTGGGCGCGTACCTGTCGCTGGAAGAAAGCAGACGTTACCCCGTGCTGCTCAGGAAGGTGCTTCTGTAATCTTTGAGGAAAGAATTAGGAAAGCTACCTCAGGAAAACCGACTTAGATCTTTGCTGACACCCCCACCCCCCAACAAGGACACAGTTGGCGGGAATGCCTGACACAGGGAAAATCAACACTGGAAACGTAACATAAGATTCCAGTCTGCTAGAAATCCAAATGTAACAGTCCTCCCTCCCTCCCTTCCAGTAAAAACTCATGTGAGCTCAATCAGTGGGAAGTGAATGATCTAGTGGGGGATGGAGGTGACCAAGGTCAGTGCGGTACCCGGGCATGAAACACAACTCAAGTTTAGATCAACAAGGGTGCAAGGAAGCCTGGGCGGTGGGGTGGGGGGAGTCCGATGCAGAGAATGTCACTAATAGTCACTGCAAAATACGCTTTCTCAGAGTATCCGTTGTCTCCGGTGACATCGTAAAAACCTGCTCATCCCGTCCTGTAGTCACCATGCAGAAAATCACCACCTCTAAAAGCCAGCGCCTGGTGTGTCCACGTGGGGTCAGGACTGGGCTCTGAACATGCCCCAGGAGGACCCTGGCTGCTTGCCTCCTGCAGCGCCTGAACCTCTCAGCCCAGAGCTGCTCAAATCGCCCAGGCCTGTTCTTGGCTCCAGTGACAGGCTCTCCTGGACCCGGGCCCTCAGACAGTAGGACCACACACTTCCTGGCCCTGTGCAGAACGCGCTTCACGCTGACGGTTAAGAGCTGAAGGAGTATGAACATGTAAGCACTTAACGTGTCACATATACACAGACTTGTGACCCTTCCATCCTCCCAACGATGTCCTCAGCAATTGTCCCTTCTTTGTTCGTCCCGATAGCCGAAGCAAATTGTCCCCTTGGCCCCTGCTAATAACCTCCCAGACCCTGGCCTGGCCCCTCCCAGTATCCTGCCAGGTCCTCCCCTTCTGACGATCAAACCCTGCTTTTCTGGGCACTGGTCTCCTTTCACCCACTGGCCAAATAAAAGGCTTCTTTAATTTGAACAAAGTGGCATGGTTTGATCTTGCTGCGGTATTTCAACGGTAGGAAATACGTTAACAGGTAAGCACAGTGGCTGGCAGGTAGGATCAACAAGGATAACGCTGGCCGTTGACTGAACAGAGTGTAATGCCACCATGTGTCCCCCAGGACGGCCTGTGCCCGGGAGGTAGGGATGCGAGCCCAGGATGTTCGAGCAGGCCATCCCTAGATACAGCACTCAGGCAAGTGAGAGTAACCCTTCTACACAAAGAGGAGTGGATACCAAGGGCTCAGATAGAAAGAAAATGTTTAGAACATGATGATGGCAACATATGGACAGACATGCTCGATACAATTGATGCATGGACTGTTATAGGAGCTGGAAGAGCCCCCGATAAAATAACCTTTTAATTAAAAAAAAAAAGGAACGCTTCTATTTTAGATATTTATTTACCTGTTCAGGATCATCTGTAAACCACGCAGGCTTCGAGGATGAAAAGGGATTCTACTTTTTAGCAGTCTGTTATAGAACACATCAAGGAGAGAGTAATATTCTTCAAGGGTCAACACCGGCTGCAACTCTTCAATGTAAACGACCTGCAGGCCCCCTAGGAGACAGCTGACTTGGTCCTCCAAGAACATCAGCTTCCTCTGAAGGTCAAAATAACTTGGCAATCTCTCAAAAAGCTGTCGTGTTTTTAAAAAGAGAGAAACAATACTCTCTGTTAGCACGATCACTCGATTTTAGGGCTTCGATACACAGAATCGAGAAATTTTAACAAGAAAATCATTTTCTGAGGAGGATCGTTCAAGTGAGAGATAAGTAAGGACAATGTCATGTTGAAAATCATGAATATTCAAGCAAAACACTGAAAATCGTAAGAGACATTTTAGATAAGTTCCTAAGCACTAATATTTAACATAGGTAAGAGTACTCATATTTAACTCAGGTAAGACTCTTAAATAAGTTTAGAGTGAATAAATGGTACGATAAAGAAGAATTTTAGACCAGTAGGGGCAGTGGGGAAACTGGGGCGCTTGTACCAATGAGCACACGACAAGATTCTGAACTTAACTGTGGTGACGACTGCACAACTCTTCAATATGACTGAGCTACTGAATTGTGAATCAGATGTCAGTAGAATGGCTTAAAAAAGTCAAAACAAATAAGCCTTCCTCCCCCTCCCAAAAAGCATGAGCGCCATTCCTTTAGAATGTAATTTCCAAACTCAGCCGAATGCTGAATGGGCTTTGGGTCTCCATCCCGCACTCCCCGCCTCATTCACTATGATATAATTTTTTGTTCTGATGATGCCTGATACCTGATCCCTTCAACGACACCTCGTGATCGCACCGGCTGGTGTGCTTCTTCCATGTGGGCTTTGTTGCTTCTGAGCTAGATGGCCGCTTGTTTACCTTCAAGCCTTTAAGACCCCAGATGCTATATCTTTTGATAGCCGGGCACCATCAACTTTCTTCGCCACATTTGTTTATGCTCCCATTTGTCTTCAGCGATCGTTATCAGGGAGGTGAGCACACAATGATATGAATTTTTGCTCTTTGATGCCTGATAACTGATCCCTTTGGCACCTCGTGATCACACAGGCTGGTGTGCTTCTTTATATGGAAAGCTTTAAGAAGAGTCAAAAGGCATAAAAAAGCCCTCTGCTATAAAACGAGCCCTCACTCACTGCCCATGGGTTGATTCTGACTCATGAAGTGACCTTGGAGGGCAGGGTGGAACTACTCTTGTGGGTTGCCCAGCCTCAACTCTCATCCTTGGAGTGGTTGGTGGGTTTGAACTTCCAGCACTGTGATTACTTTTTGATGGTGCTTATGCTCGCCGTGATTGGTAGCTAAATGATTATTAACAACGTGCCACCAAGGATCCTACTAAAAAAGCAGCAGCAATATTAATATTTTATGAATTATTGATAACAAACACCTTGTGCAAAATCATTTTTCTCCTTACTTCACACTGTCTTCCTGGCAATGGATCCTTGTCGCTGTGGTAATAGCGTGGGGGAAAAACTCCTGTTGAGAAAGAAAGAAGCCCAACACATGCCCGTGATTCTGAGCCAGAATGGTCGCCGTGCCAGAGGCGGCGGCCACAGAAGCCAGGGCGACTTCTACTTCACAGGCTCAGAAGGCGACATCTCGGTGCAGAGGGTGCAGAAGGGAAATCTCCACACTGCACCAAGCTTGGGCTGGCGGGAGAGCTGTGGGAGTAGAGAGTCACGGCAGCTACGTGGCTGTGCCTGTCCTTGATGCCACTGAACAGTACGGTCCAACGGAGCCGTCACAACGACCAGGTTACGTCATCGTTTACCGCAGTGAGACTTAGGACACAGCAAAACGCAAGACCCAAAAGCGACTTGTAGAGTTGGAAATGACAGGGTCTCTGCCTTTGTGAATGCGTGTGACTGGAAGCTGTGGCCGACCACCAACCCCCAGTTTGTGTCCAGAGTGTCCGATCGCGGAAGAGTTCAATCTGCCTAAGTCAACAATTCACGGGCTGCAGTCTGAAGCCGGCCTTTAGTTCATCATTTCCTTTTCTTCACAGGCTAAGTGAATGACACTATCCATAGAATTACCTTTGGTCCCCAGGGGTCGATTGATAATGTTGTCCCATCTAAGAACAATCAGTTCTCATGACGTGGCCCTGCTCAGCGCTCAACCCCATGAAGAGATCACTGAAGACATGCGAGCCAGATCTAAGCGTGGTGCAGAAACCAGGTGGGGCCTGGCCACCAGAAAGAACAGTGTCTGGGGGTCTGAAAGGCTTGTCTGCAAATGAATCGCCATCTAAGTGAGGCGTCAGCCAAGTCCACACGGGAGAAGGACACCAGGCTGTGAGACCCAAGGGTTGGAAGTGAAAGGCCCCGGTGGCACTGTGGGGTGAGCAGTGGACTGCTAACTGCAGCCTGGCGGTTCAAAACCACTCTCAGCCCCGGAGGACAACGAGGCTCTTGTCTGCTTCTGCCCCTGAGTCAGTGCAGACCCATGGTGACCCCTGTAGGCTCTCCAAGCCTAACTGTTTACAGGAGTAGAAAGCCCAGTCTTTCTCCTGTGGAGCTGATTGTGGTTTTGAACTGCTGACCATGAGATTACAGCCCAGCGGGCAACCGCTACCCAACCAGGGCTCCATCTACAGGCCTAGAAACACGGAGCAGGTGGCTCTGCACTGACCCCGAGGCAGTAGGTTTGGTTCGGGTTGTAGGGCTGGGCTCCAGATGCACGTTCTAGTTCACAACTGAAAACCCTACTTCGGAAGGAAAAGCTCGTCGACAACCGATCAAAGCCGCTGTCTCCTGACCTTGGTCCAGTGGTGATGGACGTCCATGGTTCCCAGCATCACGTGGCCGCCGGCACTCATCCCCGAGCAGTCTGTGAACATCAGCGTACATCCTGAGGGGGAGAGAGCACAGACCCACGGGTCACCGCCCAGCGAGGAGGCGGCCTCTTTCCAGGGGCGCAAACAAGCTCATGCATGGACGTGTGCACATCGGGAGCTGATTTCAGTAGAGGTTTGAAGGGGCAATTTTAGATGGGGGTCCCCTTCGGGGATTAGGCAGCGCCGTGGCGGTGGTGAGGTCATGTGTGAAGGGCCGTGACGGGCGAGGCACCCTGGGCGAAGTTTACCTTTGGCGTTTCTGAGGGTGTCCGAGTTCTGCTGCGCTAACCGGTCTAAACTATGCAGCTGGCTACAGCGATGGGCGATCCCCCAGCTCCTCTGCCACCTAGGCCAACAGAGGGCACAGGCCGTTAGCAGCTGGGCTCCCGGAAGGCGGAGGCCAGCACTCACCCCACACTGCCCCACTCTCCCTCGCCATGTTGTAAATGATCTTGGTCTTTCCCAACTAGCTGCTTTTCTCCCAAGAAGCAACCCAAACAATTGTTTACCAGCGCATACCCCAAAGAGTACAGCTGAAGCTAAGATAGCCAGTTATTTACAGACGCAAATACGCGATATTGTTTCCACTTTTAAAGGAGGGGAAAAATGGGGTGGGGGTGGGGAGAGTAAATAACCCCGCCCCCCATTCAAGTTGTCAGTCAACAAGGATTGTTTTCAATTTGAATACCAATTAGAAATCCCAGTTAGGCGGATCCAATTCTGTTCACCTTAGGCTAAAGTGATTTTTTTTTTTTTTATGATGTCGAATCTTCTTAAGAACCAGGATTGAATCTCAGCAACAGAATGTGGCTTGGCATTCACCGGGGTCCCAGAGGTACTGCTGGGGAGAGGTCCAGCAGCCCAGCCAGGCAGCCCCCCACCCCAGGAGCTCTGCCTCTGCACCTTAGGAGCACCGCGACCTCACACAAGCCTCTGGCTCGCTGTGCTTCTGCTTGGGTTCATGTCAAATAACAAGCTGACAAGTAACCCCCGTAAGGAGCTGCAGTCTTGGAAACCCCCAGGGCCGGTTCTACCCTGTCCTTACGGGGTCCTGTGAGCCGGCATCGACTCGAGGGCAGTTAAGTTAGGTTTTGGTTTATGTCAGGTGTGGGCATACCATGTCACAGAAAATACATGTCAGGGAGCCAGGCACTCCAAAAACCCCCAAACCAAATCACACACTCGCGGTGTCTAATTTATGCAAACACGAATCCTTAGGAATGCCACTTCTGATGGCATGAAAACATGGTGTCTTTCTTTCTTTAAAAACCAAGACAAAACCCAAAGGACATTTCCTTTAACCCACACTCAAAAACTAAGCTATGTAAAGGAGTTAACGTTAATCTATAGGGCAGCCCTACTTGGTCCACGTCGGATGGGTGCCAGGAGTCGGAAGTGACTGGATGGGTGGTGACTCGCTTGTCAGTGACAGAGCTTCGGAGTGGTCTCCTTGTCACCAGATGGGGTTTCACAGGGGCTGTTCAGAAGTGAAAACGAGGCCAAGGGTCACAGTGTTTCCCTGGGCGGGCAAACGGGCTCACTTCCCAGGAAACAGGACGTCCTCAAGGCCCCAGGTCCAGTGGTTTGGTCTCAGAACCCCCGACACTCTCAAAAGTGGAGGATCCCAACAAGGGCATGTGGTTTCCATTTTCTATGGGAAAACCCGGGGACTCCTCTACTGTACTGGAAAACGACGATCGTTTCCTTTCATGCCCAAGAAATCCTCACACTTCCTGCACACCAATCAGCTCGGACCGGTGTTTAAGAGTGCGCACAAGGAAAAGTTGCTTTCTTTCATATCCATTTGAGAAACTTAAATAAATAAAAAGCCCCTAACTGCTTTGCTTGTAGTCATTAGAAGAGTCTGTGCTATTAGAACATGGGTTGTAAGGATTCCTTGAAACACAGCTTGTTCTAAATCACTAATCATCAAAGAACAGCTGCGGTATGTCCAGCCCAAAGGCTTTGCTTTGAAAGATGAGTTGTCTTAAACAACAACAACAACTATTCTTTGAAGACATGGCAAAAGAACATGGGAAGAGAATAACTGTCTGTGTGCATTTTAATCTTTGCTGCAAATAGGTCCAGGACTGTGAGCAGGCAGAGTTCTGAATAGTGCTGAGAGATCATCACACTCTTTGAGTGAGTAAGTCGCTGAGCTGGGGGACTGGGACCAGGGCCAGTCTCCGGTACGCGTACGCCAGGGTCCATGAGCGTATGTTTGTCACAAAGATAATGTTCTACACACTACATGGGTGAGTACTGATAAGGGTCTTCAAAGCTCATGAATGTAAATCAAAAAGAAATGCTATGAGAGCCTTCATTCATGAAGCAAGCACATAAAAATGTGAAGCTATTGTTCCTCGACATCCGCCATCTAGGTCCACAGGGTTCTGAAGGCGGCGTTTCCATCTCTCTCCCCCTTCCTGGAAGGGTTCTGCGCTCTTTACCTTACACCACGTCTACATGGCAGTTGGCATCCCCAAGGGACTCAGAGTGTCTTCCCTTTCAACGTCCTTTGAGCTTGGGGAGCAAAGGAGTTGTGAATGGGCAAGATAAGGGTGGTAGGATGGATTGGCAAGGCCTCCCAATGCAGTTCTAATAAGATGCTCACGCTACCTTCCGAGAATGAGCAGGTGCAGCTTAGCGACAAAAAACATTCCTCAGCATGACTCTCCTGACCCCCATCACACCACTGCAGTTTTCTATCCTCTTAAGACCCCACACTAGGCTCCCGCGGCCATCGTGTGTTCTTTGAGAAAATCTATCGAGATGACCCTCTGGGATCACCCCTAAAAGTTGCCATGACCTTCTGAGCTGACCTCGAATTGAACTGGCCCAGCAGATTCCCTCGAAAGACACTGCTGTGACGGGACCTTGCTTTGAAAGGTCCCTTACTGAGACCAAGACAAGCATCTATTACTGAAAGGACCCATCTCAGCTATCTATTGATAATTGTTTAGACAGGATTTGCGTGGAATACATGGTAAGTCAAAAAAGAGCAATACTTTTTTGACTTACTCTTGTATATTCAAAAGAGCAATTTAAGAAATAAGCTCATCAGTAGAAAAGTAAAAATATTAGATAGAAGATGTCAGCATGTAAACCTTCAAGAACCTGATAACCGTTTTCTTCCAGAGGTGAACATCTGACTACTTTCAAAAGGACACAGTTAAAAAATATTTACTTATCAGCAGGATAAAGTTAAAGATGTACACATGTGGCTTTTGGAAAGCCTTACCCACAGGCCATGCGTGTTAAATTTACCCTTGACCTGAGCCCACAGGTGGAGCGGTGCTCCTGCTCATCCAGGGCATCGTCTTCCCTTTACCTGATATCTGAGAGCTGCAACTGACGCAACAGCTCATCCTTCAGGCGATCCAGCTCCTGCCGAAGTGGCAAGCTATGCTTCAGCTTGTTAACAGCACTTTTTTCATTGCTATCCAACCAGGATCTAGAAAGAAACAGAGATGTGGGCCCACATCACTATTAACACTTGATACCAAGGGCTCAAACAGGAAGTAAATGTTTAGAAAATGGTGTCGGCAACATAGGCACAAATATGCTTGATATACAACTGAGGTAGGGATAGTTATAAAAGCTGTAAGAGCCCCCAGTAAAATGATCTTTTAATTAAAAAAAAAAGACTTAAAATTCTGGTACTAAAAGATACATGCATTACTTGAAAACAGCCTCGAGTTAAAGGGATTTTTTTTCCAGGAAAATTCTAAGTATTCCTAACAAGTCTATTCTCTTAGAATAAACATCTCTTTTAAAAGTTAGGTTGCTTGGAGAACTGCCAGCACCTATTAAATCTTATTTTAGATAGGGCAACTTCCAGCACACACTCACACACACACACACACACACGACCAGAACAACTAGATGGATGGAGCACAGTTACTATTACTGAGCACTGTCATCAAAGATTTCTTAAAAGAATCAAAAGACGGGAAACACAGAGACTTTTAGACTTTCCCCTTGGACCCGAGTTCCTGGAGCCACACAAAGCACCTGGAGTACTCTGGTCTCGGCTCATCCCCACCAGTCATTCTCTGGGCCTCGCTCCCCAGCCTTCCTGTCAACATACTCCATATCTGGAGGGCATGGTCATTTCTGCGGGCAGCATATGGGGCAGATTTCCACTGCTGGAAACCCAGCACCCTCAGAAGTTCCCGTTGGCAGCCCTAATACAAGTGTACCCTGGCCACTCTCACAGTTACATGCCCATCTCTTTGGGTCTCCTTGCATTCATGGGACCTTCTAGGCAGGGGTCCTCAAACGTTTTAAACAGGGGGCCAGTTCACTGTCCCTCAGACCGTTGGAGGGCCAGACTACAGTTTAAAAAAAACCAAACAAATTCCTATGCACACTGCACATATCTTATTTTGAAGTTAAAAAAACAAACAGGGCAAAAACACCTGGCAGGCCGGATAAATGTCCTCAGCAGGCCGCATGTGGCCTGCAGGCCATAGTTTGAGACCCCTGTTCTAGGCTATTCAGAGGGGACAGCGGGCATTCTGGACCACTCCTTTCTCCACAGCTCTCCTCTGCCTTCTCTTCCTCTGGCAGGCCCTTATTTCCTTCCAAGGACTTTCAGGGATGTTTTGTGGTGTACCAAAGGGGGATGCACGAGCTGTTACGGGGGATGATCTTAAGGGGGATGCTAAAATCTCTTTCTAAAGGCCACAGGGAAGAGAAATGGGCAGTAGAAAGATTGTTTGGGAGGTTATTCTAATAGTCTCACAGGAAAAGGCGAGTGCCCACAGAAATGACCATGGTACACAACTGATGTGTGTATGGATTGTGATAAGAGTTGTATGAGCCCCTAATAAAATGATTTAAAACAAATAACAAAAATTTTGCAGAACTGCAATTCTTCTGTTCTCTCTGATCTATATAAAGAACAGGTGGTCCTCTCTATAACCTGCATATTTATTGAAGGTGGATTAACAATCTGATGACAGCATTATAGAACTTCCTTGCAAGACGTTGAGCCACCTCACAAGAAACTCCACTTTAGAGAAGTAATAACGTGTGACACTGGGGCCCAACCAAGAAGCTGAACCATCACCAAGAATCAACAGATGGTCCAAGGAGCCACCGCAACAGTGTGGGGAACGCCGATAAGACTTGCCTAAATCCGGCTGATGTCAAAAAGCCAGCCAAGCCGAAGCTGCCTAAAGTATGGGGAAACCCGAGAAGACTTGACTGGGACGGTGAAGACGTGAAAGAGCCAGCCAAGCTGTCCATTTAAACCCGGGTGGAGACACTGACTTTTTGGAGAGCTAGGAACCAAGGAGACATCAACTCCTGCTCTCTCCAATGCTACCCGGGGTGAGCACACCGATGAAGGCAATGCTTGTAGGGACATGATGCCAGAATGATATGTGTGAGGAGTGCTGTTAATAAGCCCTGATGCTCAGACTTGCCCTAATATTCTTATCCTTAGTAGTTTGAGTTAATTTTAAGATTTTTAGATTTTGATGTGTGTTTGCAATGAATAAACCAAGCATTTGAAAATGTCTAAAAGCATTAAATAATTATTGATCACGCCGCTCGTGACACAATATAAAAGCTTAAATTATAGATGACGAGGGCTTCAAACGACCATCATTTGTATGGTGAAAATGAGCATGGTGGCTAATAAGCTTTGGCCAAGTTACACCACTAAGTTAAACCACTTGAATCTCCTTAATGAGTTTACGTTATTTGAGAAAGAGAAAGGAGAGAGAGAAGACAAGAGTGGGGAGAGGAGAGAGAGGGACAGAGAGGGGAGGCAGCGGACAGGTAAGATTTAAGGTGAGAGCAGTTAATTTTCAGTAGTCTCCATATCCACAAGAAGAACAGGGAAGCAATAATAGGACAAGAGCATCACACCAACAATCAGACACCGCCTTTCGCCAGACATGGGGAATGCTGGAAGCTTCGTGCTGGAGGCCACTGCCCGCCTTCCCGTCCAGCTGGAGAGGCTTCCAGCCCTCAGTGGGGCGAGCAGATGACAGCCTCCTCTGTCTCCCGCAGAGAGGCTGCGGGCTTGGGCTGCGAATCCTGGAGTTTTGAGGTGAAATGCTTAATCCACCCCCCCACCCCCCAGGCCTCCTTAGAAACCATGGGTTTAAAGTGATCTGTTACAAGGTTACAACTATCTGCTGCAGCGCTACATTGTTATTCCTTTCACTTCCTGAGGCGGAGAAAAGAAGGGGCCTGCTAATCCCCGGTTTATCTCCAAGTCCATCAGGGTAAACAGGATCATCGGTTCCTGGACTAGGTCATGGTGGCCCGTAGACTAGAAAGTTCCATTTCCGCTGACTTCATCTTCTAAACCAGCGGTGTGCCTAAGTGACTAACCCTTCCTTGAGGGAAGATAACAAGCTAAATTCACACTTTGGAGCCTTGTCCTGAGAATGAAAGGTACACTCTGGAGGAAATCAAGAATTCACGGTAACACAGTTCTCGGCCACACGCAGGGTTTCTCCTGAAAGTGCTGCATCCCTTCCTGAAAGGGGTGGATTCTCAGAAGCAAACAGGAAGGCAACTGACACCACAGGGTGAGCATGTGTGTCCCAGGGGACCTGTGCCCTGGGGCTCCCAGTGGCGGGGGTTTCCACTGTCAGCTGACAGGCCTCCCGCCCTAGTGTTAGCCGCGGAGCTCTGCTGAAACCCATTCACCATCACAGCACCCTGCGATTCGCCACAGGTGGGTCTGGGCGTTGCTGAGACCGGACCCAGGTGTCCTGTGGGGGGGGTGGTCGGGTGTGGTGGTGTGTGTGTGTGTGTGTGTGTGTCAAAGTGCACAGGGGCACGGTGATGAAAGTGCTGGGTCTCCAACGGAGAGATTTACAGCCTTGAAGACGCTGTGGGGCGGCGCTTACTCTATCCTACAGTTACGGAGTGCTGGATATGACCAGGCAGCTTTATTACTTGGCCAGCTGTCTAAGTCTTAGCTCCGGGTCCGTGGGGACCACCTCTGCACGCTGGCTATGCATCAGCTCCAGGTCAACCCGGTACTCCCCAAACGTTCGACTGAGGGACAGACGGCTGCTTCCCGGAAGTTCCTGAGCCCCCTCTTCCACTCCTTAGCTGGAGCCCGGCGCCAGCAACACTCACTTTGGCTTCCTGACCTTTACTCAGCCTGCCGGGCTGCTGCTTCACCCCGCTTTCTGTGCACTGGACACACAGAGGGAGGGGCACTTCGAGCCATGGCCTCTGACGGGCGCAACGGGATGTGGCGGGGAACTTCTCTTCCGGAAAACGCGGACAGCAGTCTACTCCACCTGCCACCAGAACCTGCGTGTAACTTACACCGGCCAACTGCCGTCTTCCTAACCCCCTTCCTCGGCCTGTCACGGCTGCTTCTAGGGTTCACTCGTCTCTTCCTCTCCTTTTATTACTGTGGTGCTACTTCAGGCCTGTCATGAAACCACCACTCCCAAGCCCACATCTTCACCTCCGCTGTGATGGCAGACAGGAACCTGTGCCCACAACAGTCTGCAGAGCTGGGAGCCAAGGACTCCGTCAGCGATGCCTCGTGGTGGACCTGGCAGTGGGAGATGATCACGTACGCACACTCACCCCCACACCTTCGAACGGACCTTGTCTCCCTCTCTGCACTACACTCTTCCAGCTCCCTGGCCTGGCCTCTAGCCAGAAACACTGGGAAGGACCCTCGAGTTGGCACCGATGACGGGGAAAGCCCAGGCTCCGCCAGTGGTGACAAAGGACCCTGTGCTCTGCTGTAACGAGCAGGGACTCGCTGGTGAGCCCCGGGGCGCAGCATCGGAAACCATGGAGGCCAGAACTCACCGCCTCAAACAGCCGCTAAGAGCACCTTACAAACAGGGCGGACCATATGGGGCGGGAATGCTTTGCACGTGGCTTTTATGATGGGATGTTAATATCCTCTTGGTCTGTATTTTAAAACATTGTCTCTGTGTTCCACCCCCTCCCCCTAAACCCACGCCTGTCATCCTAGAGTCTCTGCGTGCGGAAGTCTCTGAAGAAACAGGAAATGCCTAAGACCTCGAGACGCTCAAAGCCTTCTGGGTTTTAGGTATATAGCCTTCTCCACACACCAGAGGTAATGATGTTAAGGAACACTGTAAAACTCAAGGAATGGACGCCGGAAACCAAGCCCAAACTGTCCTCCTGTGCCTGACTCTGGAAGTCTGGAAGCTTGGCACACTTGGAATTCTTCCAGCAATGTCAAGGGAGACCTGTCCCTTGTAGAACCGTGGCTGGATGAGCTCTCGAGACAGGACTGCTTCTCTGGGAAGGGGCGGGTTCAGGTTTAGACACGGGGGCAAGTGAGGGCTTAGCTAAATAAAAACCTGCACGCACACAAGGGTCGTCTCCACTCGGGACACCTGCTCCAGGTCTTCCTCAGGGTCCCTGAACCCAGTGAAGGCGTAGTAAGACTTGTCCCACTTGATGGGTCTGTCGGGCAGCCGTCTAGCTTCCTTGAGCGGCGGGCCGTGTGCGTGGGTGTTCCCGCTCTGGACGTGCGCGGTGGACAGACGGCAGGAGGTGAGAATGTCCAGCACCGTGCTGAGCAGGTCTCGGGTGTGCAAAGTGAATCTGACGGCACGGAACCCTAGAGACACAAGCCCCAAGTGAGCAAGAGGGGTTTTTTGCTTTACCTTCAAAACCACCTCGCATCCACACTTGTCACATGACCGTCTTTGAAAACACCCCATCCTTGGTTCAAACGCATCTCAATTTCATTGGTAAACAGAGGGCTGCTTCCCTCCCCTGAAAATACCAGGCTGTGGTTAACATCACACCCCTTCGTCCTTCGATGCCCTTCTCCGGTGGAAGGCAAGAAGGGGTCAGCGGGTTTTTAACTCCGCCGATAGATATGGCCTCCCCCACTCGCGCTGGCGTCCAGTGGATGCGACCCTTTAAGGCAGGGTAGAACTAACTGTCCCTGTGGGTTTCTGAGATGGCAACTCTTCACGGGAGTAGAAAGCTCCGTCTTTTTCCTGATGAGTGCCTGGTGGTTTCGAACCGCTGACCTTCGTGATGAGCAGCCCAAGGCAAAACACGACACCACCAGGGCTCAGTCTTCCCTTCTAAGAGGTGGAAAGGCTCCCCTGTAAGTAGGTATCCACCGAAAGATGGTTTGTAGCGCTCAGGCTTAAGAGCGTAGAAAGCGGACATGCACCATGATCCCAGTGGCTCAAAAGAGAAGGGGGGCTGGCTGGTCTAATTTCCCCAACCGGCTAAGCCACTCACTCACTCATCCACTCACCCACCCACCCACTGCCATGAAGTCTGTTCTCACAGTGACCAGGGAGGACAGAGTGCAACCGCCCCTTGGGTTCATGAGGCTGTCACACCTTTAAGGGCCCAGATCTATCTTTCTCCCGAGGAGCGGCTGGTGGATTTGAACTGCTGACCTTGTGGTTATCAGCCTGACTTGTAACCCACTGTGTGCCTTGCTCAACCAACTAGGGCCCCGATATTTTCAGGGATAATTTAAAATTCCCCAATTGCTTAAAAATGAGTGTCCCACCATCTCATTTCAGCACTGGGTGGCCATTTGGCTGAGACTAGAGCTTAACTTGCTAAATCAAGAGGAAACACCTCTCTTTCCTTTGTAATTTGTCAGGCACACCAGCTCTGCTACTCTGCCTCTTTTACAAAGAGGCAATAAGCGTGGAGATGGGACTTCAATCCGAACTGACACAAGCCGAGTCCTCCTCCCACTGCACCACACTGCCCTTGCCCCGCTTCAACGAAGGAAAAACTAAGTGCTGTGTGAGTAAACACTGTTGCAAAATCAGAACCAACCAGTCTCCACCACTAGCAGGCACGTATTCTTCTAGAACTGCCTCTGCTAGCCTGTCTAAGATGCCTCTGCTAGCCATGGCTATACAAATGAACATAAAGTAACTTTTAAAACAACTCACTTATTTGGTGGCGCCCACAGCCACATTTCACGTACTCAGTAGCCACACGTAGCTGTGGCTGCTCTGCTAAATAGAGCAGAGACACCGAACAAGGCCAGCACTAAAGGACACTCCCTTGGACAGCACTGCTCTAAAGCACATCTATGTGCTCATGATAAACACATCATAGCTGTGTGTGTATGTGTATGTATATATACACACATACAGTATCTATGTGAACACACAGCCCACACAGTTTGATGGTCATGAACTTGCTTTTCTTAACTTCCAGGGCTGTAGGAATAGACCCACCTCATGCTCTTTAGCAACTAACTACACGCTGGTCTATATTCTGAATGCAGCACAGCCTGATTCACACTGCCGACACCGGGAGACACGTCGGGATTGTGGTCACGACCTTGCACTGGGCTGAACTGCATTGACCCGTCTTTGCCACTGGTGGCAGGCGTGGCCGCACGTTAGACCATTCTCAGAGACACACCAGCTGCTTGCCACCGAGCCTGACGGTCTCTGGAACATACACACCAACAAAGACTGGTTCTCTGGATTACTGGAGTGCCAAGGGAGAAGCCCGGCGGGAGAGTGGTTCTAGGCAGGGAAGAAGGGAAGAAAAGGAAAGACACCCCTCCCTCCCCTCCAAGTCGGGGGGAGAAATAGCTCATCTGCAGAATCGCAAAGTCCAGGACGACATCTTGGTTTCTGCCTGGATGGCTCCAGCCCACCGATGGGAGACTCTGATTCACGGTGGCAGCTGCCACCGTCCCTGCACTGGTCTGCCCGGCTTCTCCCCTGGGTCCTCACGGTACGTTCTGAGAAGAATTCCTGGGCCAAAGGGTGCTTTGAGGGTTTGGGAAGTTCCAAACTGTCCTCTAGGAAATATGTAACCTTGTATACTCCCACTGGTGGAATATAAAAATGTATTCTCACTATCTGTGGATATGCCGAGTTCAAAAAACCAACAGGCAAAAACAGCACCTAATTATTTCAGTGTGTATTTGATTACAGATATTTTTAGTACACTGACTACTTGTATGTCTTATTTCCAGAACTGCCTATTCATGGCTTTTGCCCATTTTGAAGAGGAACATTGATTCAATTTGTAAACTGTATGGCAACAGTATCTTTTTGGTTCATATGTTGTATATCTTCTCCAATTTCTCATTGTTTCCTCTGGAAACCGGCCCTTGCTTCATGAATGGCTGGCTCAAAGGTAACTTGAAAGCAGGGAGGTTTTGTCTTTACTCAAGCAGAGCTGATTACATCTCTTTGAGAATTAACTCACAGAACGCTCTTAGCAAGTCTTCAGCTTTAAAGTTTATTCTGATAATAGCGTGGACCAGCAAAAAGATGTGCAGTTAAAGAAATAATTTAGGCCATCACAGATTTCAACATATTAACAATGCCGAATTGATCATAAAGCTTAGTAATGAAAATGACTAGTGAATATGTCCCCCTTATGACCAACTTAACTGGGGCCCCAGTAATGTACTGAGCTAATCACAAGGTCAGTGGTTCTAACCCACCAGTTGCCCTATAGGAGAAAGACGAGGCTGTCTATTCCCATAAAGATTGAAAAGTCTCAGAAACTCAAAGGAGCAGTAATATCCTGTCCTATAGGGTTGCTATGTATGAGCTGGAATCAACTTGATGGTGGTGTGCTTTTTAACGATTCAATGAACAAGTTGTACTGTTCTCAAAAGGAGCCTCAGGGGCACCATGGGTTATGCATTGGGCTGCTAATTCCACGGTTAACAGTGCAGACCGCTCCTCTTGAGGAAGGGAAGGCTGTCTGTTCCTGTAGAGATTCTGTTGCAGAAACCGCAGGGAAGAGTTTTACTCTGCCCAATAGGGACGCCTGGAGTCAAAATCGACTCAATAACAGTGTGTCAGTGTTCTACAAAGAAAAACTTACAGACACTTGATCGCAGTGTGGCCCGGATCATAAAGCAGCAATAGCTGGGACAGCAGGAATGAATCGTGCAGAAGATAACAACTGAGGACACTATGTGACTGAGTGCGACTCTGTGCGGCCAGCAGCACCGTGGATTAACTGTGGTGACTGTCAGTCATTCTAGCAGAACCCAATAAACTGTACTGAACGATACACCAGCCAGCAAGCCAGCAAACAAAAAAAAAAACAACCCACTCGAGCTAGCTTAATTTCACGAGCAGATAAAAAAGTCAAACAAAACTTCTTTTAAATCGTCAGAGTGCCAACCCCTTTTCATAAAGAGACGCAGAGGCAGAAATGACGGGAGACTGTTTTTCAAGGTAATGTGGATGTCAATCAAAACACCGGGTGGGGCGAGGAGAACTTCGTGCTGGTGCCAGCTCTGTCCCTAACTTGCCGGGTGACTCTTTAGAAGCTTCATCCTCGGCTTTCAAATACAACTTTCCCTGGGGTAGCCTGGAGATGCCACATTTCAATCAGAGGCACCGACAGCGGGCGTCGGAACGAGCCCTGCTCTCCTGCATCGAGGAAGCCGACAGGCTGGTGACTGTATCGTCATTTTCCAGCGCGGTGGAGGAGGCTGCTTGCCTTGATCAGTGCCACGTGTTCTGGAGAAACCAAGAAGCCTAAGGAGATCACTAAGCAGTCCTAACGCTCCTTCAGTTCCTAGTCTGATCTTGACCCAGGGTGATGGGGATATGCATTTCTGTCGGTCAACAGTGGGTCTTACACAGGCACAGGAAGGACCGCAGCTGCTTACTCCCATGGCTTGCTTACAGCACATTCATCACAGATGACACACAGTGACTGCTGGTATATGACAGAGGTCAAACAGATCTGCTCTCTGGAGTGCAAGGAAGCATACTTATGATGTGCAGCACTCTTCAACGGACTGCTGTCCATCAACTTAAGGCGTTAGAGCTTTTGTCAACTGACGTCTGAATAATGAAGAGCAGGGCCTGGTTTTTCATAAAACTCCAAATTGGAGGCAGATGGAGAAATAGCCAAGGAAGGGAATGTGTGATTCCTGGTCTGTCACCTTCAGTGCTGGGACGACAAGAGACAGGACATGCACTAGCAATTGCGGGTCTGTGAGAAAGTGGGGCGGGATCTCTCTTCAGAAGAACAATGTCCACATGTTTTGGCTCCAGCTCTTCCTCGCCCTGCAGGCTCCCACAGAGCGCCTTGGAGCATTCGGTGTTTAGTTAGGGACCTGCAGTGCGAGTGGCCTCCGCCTCTATTTACTTGAACATTAACTCACAGAAAGCTCTCAGGAAATCTTCAACTTGCTTTAAAGTTTATTCTGATGACAGCATGGCTTTGTGTCCTCCTGCACCAGCCAAAGGATGTGGAGGGGGAGAACTCCCTTAGGCGTCCAACGAGGGAACCAGCAGAGGGAAGTGCAGGTCACACAGCTGGTCAGGAGCAGAGCGAGAAACAGTCTGGGTCTCAATGACCAATCAGATTCTTTTCTTTTCTTTTTAATGATAGTACAACTTTCTAGTTTTAGCTCTGATTCAGAGAAAACTTTTCCTAAGTCTTTAGATGTTTTACAGTTCATTTGAAAGATAAGCTTATTGCCTCAATAATCACCAAAAGGAGGCATGTCTGGAGAAATGACTAGACTGTAAGGATCTTTACCCAAATATCTGACACTTATTTTCAGCATCACTGGAACATGGCCAGAGCAGAGACCAACGACACTGCAAGGGAGCTGTCCTTGCTACGATCAACCAGGCTTTAGGGAAAGCGTACTGTGTGCCGCTGTGAGACTGCGTCTCAAGACGCATAGTCTGCCTCTGATAGTCTCTGCATGACCAAGTTAATGACGGCAAATGCAATTCACCTCGCACCGGTACTCTGAGGACTGGAGACAAAAAAGAATGCAAGGTGTAATCCTTGGGTTGTAAATTGTTAACATATGATGTGGAACTCGGAAGGGGACAGAGGGGGCACCTTTGGTTTTACGGACAAAAAAGTTGAATCACACAAAAAACGTGGCTTGTTCAAGCACAGGCAGCCAGGAGCAGACCAAGTTCTAGGAAAATAATCAACTAAATGAATGAGATTCATCTGTAGCCAAGGCCAAAGGTTATCCTGGCAGGGTTGGAGTTAAGGAGCAGGTAGAACGTGACACCGGGAGGGGGAAAACGGAGCGTACCTGCAGTGCTGATGGGCTCCTGGCCATCGGACGGATTCTGGTCTGTTTCTCGGACGTAAAATGTGAGCTGAGTTGGTGTCAAAGACTTAGAGCCCGGTTTCTGTAGGTTTTCTAAGTAGACACTTAATCTCTTCAGAGAATTTTCATTGATTTCCTGGGGGCGGGAATTAAGGCAAATTTACATACGAAACAGAGAAAGGAAGCACTGAGAAATGATATCAGACCTCTTTTAACGTATTATTAAGCATTAAATAACTTCAGTGCTTAAATTTGGAAAAAGATAAAATTGGATTGCCAACTCACCATGCATAACTAAAAATGAAAAAACAATTAAGTGTAAAGAAATGTAGAGGGAAAAAAAAGAAAAGTACATGCAGAAAACTACATAGTTGAATTCCTACATAACCTAGTGTAAAAAAGCTTAACTATGACTAAAAAACTCCAGAGTAATAAGTTAATGATAAAATCAATGGTATACACATATAAACATTTATTTATTAGAAGAGGCTTCTATAACTGAAAACACAGCAAGCAAAGCTAAAAGACAACTAGTTGGGTGAAGCCCTCAGTATTTCTAACTTATTTTGCAGCAAAGTGCTAATCTCTGTAAATACTTTTCTTACAATGTCCACCCATAGGAGATAGTTTGGCTAAATCAGTGGTTCTCAACCTGCCTAACACTACAATCCTTTAATACAGTTCCTAATGTTGTGGTGACCCCCAACTATAAAATTATTTTTGGTGCTACTTTATCATTGTAATTTTGCTACTGTTATGAATTATCATGTAACTATCTGAAAGGCAGGATGTAATCTCATTGTTACAGGTTGAACATAATGAAAGCACAGTGATTCATCACAAAGACAATATGTAATTAAATATTGTGAAATATTTATTTCTAATGATAAGTACATGAAATTGTGTCTGGAAGCATGGTGCAGAATGGGTCACAGTCTTCATGCGGGGGTACTCGGCTGTGGGCGTATCTGCATGTGGGTGGGCCCACCTGGAGATGGATAGAGGAGCGGTGTCTTGGTTCCTAAGATCATCGGAAATATGTTTTCCGATGGTCTTAGGTGACCCTGGGAAAGGGTCATTTGACTCCATAACGGGTTGCGACCCACAGGTTGAGAACCGTTGGGCTAAATGACGGTGTCCTCATTCTGTGGAGCCAAGCACAGCAACAGAGCGAACAAACAGAAGGCGAGAGGAACAGGAGAGAAGGAATGTGCTGGGGGGACACCTCTGACCTGGCCTGAGGACACTGGCGAGTGGGAAAGGAATGAAGCAGATGCTGGTGCTACAGTAATTAGGTAGCGTGCCAACTCTTCCTTGCCGTTTGTCCGTTTACCGCCCC